AGCAAGAACATGATGGAAGTAAACACTACAAGGCCAGATTGGTTGCAAAAGGATTTCAGCAAAAAGAAGGAGTTGACTACACTGAAATTTTCTCTCCAGCTGTGAAGTTAACCACTATCAGATTGGTGCTGAGAATTGTGGCTGCGGAAGATTTGTATCTTGAGCAGATGGATGTAAAGACGACTTTTCTCTATGGTGATTTGGAGGAGGAAATTTACATGAAGCAACCACAAGGTTTCTTGGCACATGGCAAAGAGCAATTTGTATGCAAACTTCAAAAAAGCTTGTATGGTTTGAAATAGGTCCCAAGGCAGTGGTATAAGAAGTTTGATGGGTTTATGTGTAGCAGCGATTTTATAAGATGTTAAGCAGATCATTGTTGTTATTTCAAGAGGTTTGACAAAAGTTATATTATTTTGCTCTTATATGTTGATGATATGCTTATCGCGTGATCTAGCATTGAAGGGATAAAAAGATTGAAGAAACTTTTGTCTAACTAATTTGGAGATGAAGGATCTTGGAGTTGCAAACAAAATCCTTGGTATGAGGATTCATAGGGACAGGGCAAATGGTACTTTGAAGTTGTCACAGGCGGAGTATGTCAAGAAAGTTCTCAAGAGGTTTAGCATGGATAGTGCAAAATCAGTGAGCACTCCATTGGCTAGCCACTTCAGACTTACCAAAGAGCAGTCTCTGAAGACCGAAGAAGAGCAGGCTTACATGGAGCGTGTTCCATATGCTTCAACTATCGGTAGCATAATGTATGCTATGGTTTGTACTAGACCAGACATTGTACATGCAGTAGGAGTGGTTAAGAGGTACATCAGCAATCTAGGCAAGCAGCATTGGGAGGCAGTGAAGTGGATCCTTACAGACATGGCACTTTGTTTCAGACGAACCGGCATCAGGTTACATGGTTATGTTGATGCAGACTTGGCTGGTGATATGGATAACAGAAAGAGTACTACTGGTTATGTTTACACATTAGATGGTACAGTAGTGAGTTGGATTTCACAGTTATAGAGATTATGGCCCTTTCTATAACTGAGGTTGAGTATGTTACTATTACTGAAGCTAGGAAAGAGATGACTTGGTTACAAAATTTCCTAGTAGAGTTGGGTAAGACGCATGAGATGAGCATTTTGCATGTGTGACAGTCAAAGTATTATTCATCTTGCAAAGAATCCGGCTTTTCATTCTAGGAAGAAACACATTCAGCTGCGATACCATTTCATTTGTTCACTTGTAGATGATGGAATCTCGTCTCTTGAGAAGATCCGAGGCAGTAAGAATCTAGCAGATATGTTGACCAAAATAGTCACCATTGACAAACTGATGTTGTGTGCAACTTCAGTTGGCCTTCAAGATTGATGAAGGAAGATCGAGTTGTTACGGCGTTCCTCTATGTGATGAAGATGATGGAGAGCTTGTGTTATCAGGTTCCAAGTAGGAGATTGTTGGGTCAGTAGACCCTGATAAGTACTGTTCACTCAAACACTAGATTTTGGGCATTTTCATAATTCTCATGTGCTTCCGTGTAACCCTAATTCTATACTTATAAATAGATGAAGGGGTGTCTCTTTTAGGTTTCAAAAAAAAGAGAGAGTTGTATTTTTCTGATCATAGTGAAAACCTCAGAAGCCGTGGACGTAACCCTATTATGAGGTGAACCACGTAAATCTTTGTGTTCTTGTGTGTGTGACTTTTGTTTGATTCGTTACTTTTTTTCTTATTTGTTATTTTGTGTCTCACCGATCTTGGTTAGAAATGATCAATTCCTAACAATATGCTCCTACTTTTTATTGTGTAGGTGTATCCACGTTTTCATATTTCTATTTCAACATTGTTATCCATTTAAGTATTTATCCAAACATTACTCTATTTATTTATGAAATGTGATACTCAACACTTCTTACTTTATGTGTGGTACACTCCCTTTAACAAATAAATAAATAAAATCCTAACTTTATAGTAATTAAATCACATAATTGCATACACAACTGTCAACCTCCAAACTACTTGAACTATATTTGATTCATGAATAAAGAGTGGAATTGTATTAAATAATAAAATAATTTATCAAATATAAATAATCATGCATTCGATTCAAAAAAATCTATCAATGATCGGTAACTAATTATAAAAGAGTTTTTATCTCAAGCATGTGAAATTATCTCTAAAATGGGAAATTATCTCACATTTTTTTACACCTTTTTTTTAAAAAAATTATAAAAATTAAAAAGTCAACTTTTAACTATCTTTTCAACATAGGCCTACATCTAGTTGGTGTGTTAGTTGGTAATTAGTATTTACAGCATCACTCTATATAAAAAGGTAAAATATTAATTTATAAAATAGTTGTACACAAATTCAAAAGTCATTAAAACATTAAATAATAAATGCATTTAAAAATAGAAACTAATCAATTTAATGAGTATCTAAAATTAGAAATTTATTAAAATCAAGATAAATTAATATTTCATTAAACAACAGTGCTATATACACACATTTTATTCTCCTACAACCCCATAATGAGATGACAAGATAAACATTTTAATAAAAATTTTAAAAAATATTTAAATGTAAGTCAACTTTTTAAATTTTGCTTACCACATCATTCGGGAGATTGTGACAAGAGAATTTGGGCGAATGAACTATTTTTTTCTTCATTAGTACACTTTAACTAGTGACCCACATAATTGTTAGGATTATCCTTGAAAAAGCCTTGAATCTCATGGGAAATTCTGATTGGTTTGGAATTTTCAAAAATAGTATTTTGAATTTTTAATATGTATATTTTTTTAGTAAATTTTTTTAAGAAAATGATATACAAGTTTATAGACTCACTTTTTAGATTCAGTGATGTGTTAACAAGATGAATGATTGATAATTAAAGAATAAATGAGAGAAAGAGTTTGACAATATTTTAATACAATGTCACATCATTAGATTTAGAAAATGTGTAATTTTTTGCGTGAATAGCAATATTCATTTTTTTAACATTCTAATCAATTTAAAAAAAAATTAAATTCATTTAATGTAGATATACTTAAAAAGTAAAAAAATTAAAAAAAAATCTTTAAAAAATGAATGAGTTACTAAAAATAGAAAATAATCAATTTAATAAGTAGCTAAAATTAGAAATTTAGTAAAATCAAAACAAATTAATATTTCATTAAATATACCTTAATTAACAAGGTACTTATTTAGAATCAACCTTAAAAAATAGGAAAATGAGTGAAAGTATTAATTAGTGCTATCACTAATGATGTGGTAGTGGGTCTCACCAGGAATGATTTGATGTTTTGGCCTTGGTGTTGTATTTTTTTCTTTTTTTATTGAGTGCCATGTCATTAGTAGTCTTTTTAGAGCTCTAAAATTAGTGGTCTCCTATCATTGTTGTAAAAAATAGCCTTGAATCTCATGAGAAATTCTAATTGGTTTGGAATTTTCGAAAATAGTGTTTTGAGTCAATCTGCATTTTTTTTACTAATTTTTTTTAACATTCTAACAACAATGCTACAGACCACTAAATTCCTATCACTAACACCATCACTAATGATATGAAAAGCAAAAAAAACAAAAAAAAAAACAAAACTAAGACACAAAATACATGTGGCAGTGCCACATCATTAGAGCAACCACTAATTAGTGGTTTGTATCATTTTTCTCTTATAAAATAGTCTTGAATCTCATGGGAAATTCTGTTTAGTTTGAAATTTTTAACAATAATTTTTTGAATTTTCAATTCGTATTTTTTTAATTTTTCACTAATTTTTTTTTTTTTATAAAATTGTACTTTTAAAATTTACTTAATGTAGACACACTTAAAACGTACAAAATTTATTTTAAAAAAAAAAACTTAAAAAATTCATTCAACTTGTTTGGTTTTGAATTTTGAATTTAAATTTTTTAATTTGTATTTTGTATTTTAATTATTTTTTAAAAAATTTTAATCAATTTTTAAAATTTTTGGATATACTTAATCTTAATATAATTAAAAAGTAAAAAAATTATATAAATTTAAAAAAAAAAATTCATTAAATACATCAAAATATGAAAATATATTTTTTTTTTGTATTTGATGAATTTTTTTTAAAAAAAAATCACAAATATTATATTTTTTTAAACGTATTTAAATTAAATATATCTAAAAAATTAAAAAAAAATTACGTAACATATTAAATAAATTTATTAAAAACAAAAAAGAAAATATTGGTTTGAGTTTTTTGAATTAAGTTTTTTGAAAATTGAGTTTTTAGTGTATATTTTTAACCATTTTAAACATTTTTTTACTTTTACCTTACTTAGATGTATTTAAAAAGTAAAAAATTTGTGAAAAAATATTTTTAAAAATTAATAAATACATAAAAATATAAAAAATGTATTAAATTCTCGTATTTTTTTGTATTTTTTATATTTAGTGAATTTTTAACAGGTTTTTTTTTTTTTTTACTTTTTAAGTATATTTATGTTAGGTATGTCTAAAAATTTAAAAAATGGCTTAAAATATTTTAAAAATTCAGTAAAAACAAAAAAATACGGAAAATAAGAAAGTAGAATTTTCTGAAAAATATTTTTGAAAAGTGGTAACCAAGCATAGGTAATTTTCTAAAAAAACCACTTAATTTTCTGGAATCAAAATATATGGTGATTGGCCCTGTTTGGTAGAGCTGTGGGAAAGTGCTTATATCTTATACTTTAACAGTTTATAGCTTATAATTATGAATATAAGTTGATTTCTAACTTATAAATTAAGATTTTTTTGCTCCATTCAAAGAATAAATTAATTTTTGATTTACAAAAAATTATAAACTTAAGTTAAACTAAACATATTAAAATAATTTAAATTAAGTTGAAAGTTAAAATAAGTGAAAAAAAAAAGCTGTATTACCTCTCCACCTTTGGATGTCGAGGTCACAGTCACGCACTGATGAGTTTCTCGGTCTCTCGACCAATCTGATTGCAAGCTGTACATAGCCCCATATATATATACTCATCCGCTGCGTTCAGACCTCAGCGAGAGTGTTCTTAAAGAAATAATGGGCATTTTTGATTTGCAGCCTCGCTCCAATTAGACCACAACCACACTCTCTCTCTCTGTTCATGTTCTGCTTCAAATTTCCCTCCACCCAGAAAAAGAGAGTGATTTATATGATACTTTTTTCTATATATCTAAGCCAAGAATCAAACTAGGGAGAGAAATTGAGAGTGAAAGTCATGGAAACCAACAAGTGGTTGTTCATGTTCTGCTTTGCCTTGTATCTGGGTTCTCAGTTGATACATTGTAGTGTGAACTATGACAGGAAAGCCATTATCATCAATGGACAAAGAAGAATCCTAATCTCTGGCTCCATACATTACCCAAGAAGCACCCCTGAGGTACTACTACTCAAAAGTCATATTCCCATTTCACATTTTTTTTTTTCCTCTCGAATTTTCCGGAGAAAAAAACAGTCACGCATTGTTGTTTTTTGATTCTCTGTCGTTTCTTTTAGATGTGGGAAGATCTCATACAGAAGGCTAAAGAAGGGGGTCTGGATGTTGTTGAGACGTACGTTTTCTGGAATGTTCATGAGCCTTCTCCTGGCAATGTACTTTACTTACTCTCTTTCTTGCTTTGTTCTTTGTTTGGTTTCTCTTGATTCTCTGCTTGTTTTTTCTGTTTTCTTTGTTTGTTTGTGGCTTTCAGAATCAGTACAATTTTGAAGCGAGATATGACCCAGCTAGGTTTATTTTAGTTTTCTTTGTGGGTTTTCAGTACAATCTTTGCTAATTCCCATTTCATATTTTTTTCACTCTCAAATTTTCCCGAGAAAAAACGCACGCATTATAGCTTTCTTCTTCTGTGGGTTGTTTCTTGCTCTGTTATTTATTTGGTTTCTCTTAAATCTTCGCTCTTTTTTTCTTTTTTTCTTTCTGTTTCTTGTTGGGTTCAGTACAATTTTTAAGGGAGACTTGACCTAGCTAAATTTATCATAATTTTCTCTGCTGTTTTCTTTGTGGGTTTCAGTGCAATCTTTGCTTTTTTCATTTCATATATTTTCTATCAAATTTTCCCGAGAAAATACACCCATTATAGTTTTCTTCTTTCTGAGTTGTTTCTTGCTCTGTTATTTATCTGGTTTCTCTTAAATCTTTGCTTATTTTTGTGTTTTGTTTGTGGGTTTCAGTACAATTTTGAAGGAAGATATGACATAGTTAGATTCATTAAGACCATCCAGAAAGCAGGGCTCTATGCTCATCTCCGCATTGGTCCTTATGTTTGCGCAGAGTGGAACTTTGGGTACCCTAGATCTGAGTCCTCTCTCTCTGTTCTTGTTTTGCAAATTGAGGGTTTTTCCTTTCACATTTAGGGTTTATATGAGTAGCTTTAGTTGTAATTTATAATTGCTTTTTGTGCTTTGTGCAGAGGATTTCCTGTTTGGCTGAAGTATGTTCCAGGCATAAGCTTCAGGACAGACAATGAGCCTTTCAAGGTCTCTACTCCCAATCTTCCACCCATTACTCTTCTCTTAAACATTGTTCCACAAATAGTAAATTACTTAAATAGAAGAAACAGAAATAAACTTGTTTTGTACAACAATTTCATTTTCATTTTTATTTTTATTTTTATTTTTTTATTATAGTTTATTTAGTTGATTTTATGGTGGTGCTGCAGACGGCTATGCGCGGGTTCACTGAAAAAATTGTCAATTTGATGAAGAGTGAAAATCTGTTCGAGTCCCAGGGTGGTCCCATCATCCTCTCTCAGGTATAAGCTTTGAGTTTTTGGCATGCCTAATTTCACTGTCTAATGTTATCGTCTACACTTTTGTGCTTTGAACTTTCTGTAAATGCTAGATATTGAGAATGTTTAATGGTAATTCATTACGGAAAGAAAATTGAAAGGAGAATGTATGAGATAATTTACTCAGCCTTAATGGAAAAACACTTTACTAAAATAAATTAGTTTACAATCATGCAAGTTGGTTTTGCTTGTGCAGATTGAGAATGAGTATGGGCCGGAAGGTAAGGCGCTTGGAGCTGCTGGCCATGAATACATGACCTGGGCAGCAAGTATGGCTGTTGGTTTGGGAACAGGTGTTCCGTGGATTATGTGCAAAGAAGATGATGCCCCAGATCCAGTGGTGAGCAGTCGCTTACCTTTTTTTTTCATTATTTATTTATTTATTTTTATGATAACTGCCGTATGAAGTTTTCATTTGTGTCACATAATCTTGTTTTTATTGACAAGTTTTACATTGCATTTCAGTTCTTTTGTATTGTTATCAGTTGTACTTGTTGCTCTTGAACTTTACTACATTCAGTTGTATAACATAGTTGTCTTAAATTTTGCATTTATATGTGAAAGTAGCAAATCATCTTAGACTTACAGGGCTAGGTAACCTCCGACAACCAATAGCTCGCCTGTTTCGTGAGCCAAAAGAACAGAAAATTAGTACCTAACAAAATTTTTAGTTTGGAAGACATGAAATCCATAGTAATTATTGTTTTAGATATCATTATATCTTTTGTGTGATAAAAATCATCTTAAAATCCTTCTGGGGGGTTATGTGAACAGATAAATACATGCAACGGCTTCTACTGTGATACTTTCTCTCCAAACAGACCTTACAAACCTACAATATGGACAGAGGCTTGGAGTGGCTGGTATTAGATTTGTTCTTCTTGTTTGGTCCACTCAAATTCAAAATTTTCAGCAAGAAACAATGGGCCTTTAACTCTGTTTTTAACTCAAACTATGAAGGTTTACGGAGTTTGGTGGCCCAATTCACCAAAGGCCTGTTCAGGATTTGGCATTTGCAGTTGCTCGATTCATACAAAAGGGAGGATCATTTGTTAACTACTACATGGTTGGTTTTCTTGTCAAATTGTTCCCATGAAATTTAGAAGTCTACTATGTCAAATTATTTTAAGTAAAACCAAGTTCCCATGTTCACTATGTGATTAGTACCATGGAGGGACCAATTTTGGACGCACTGCTGGGGGCCCTTTCATCACGACCAGCTATGACTACGATGCTCCTCTTGATGAATATGGTAAGATCAAAAACTTTTATACCCTCTTTTATTTATTTATTGGCTGACGGACTTAACGAAGTCTATTTTCTTAAGTAGGAACCATGGAGTGTTAATTTTATTTTATTATTATTATTATTTTTCATGTGAATGCTCTTAAGCACTCATCCTGATAATAATACCCCGCTTGAACGGTAAAGAAAACAAAATTGCATTCTTAAGTGCTAATGATTATGTGCTTGTATCTCGTCAACAAACCATATGCCTAAACTTGGGATACAGCTAACTGCTTCACTGCATTTACTGGATAGGTTTGATTAGGCAACCAAAATATGGTCATCTAAAGGAGCTTCACAGAGCTATCAAGCTAAGTGAGCGAGCTTTAGTTTCAGCAGATCCAATTGTCACTTCTCTAGGAAACTTCCAACAGGTATTAGACACTCAATTGCTTCTGGCATTTGCATAGTTCATAGCTTCTGTTTGCTGAATGTCTGGCATTTTCCAGGCCCATGTATTTACTTCAGAAGCTGGAGATTGTGCTGCTTTTCTCTCAAACTATGATACCAAGTCCGTTACAAGAGTGATGTTCAATAACATGCACTATAATTTGCCTCCTTGGTCCATCAGCATCCTTCCCGATTGTAGGAATGTAGTTTTCAATACCGCCAAAGTATGTTGATCTCTATTTAATCTTTCCGGATTGAAAATCCATTTTCAATCATAATTGCTATCGTGCTGAAGTTTCTGATTCTTGTGCCTCCATTACAGGTTGGAGTTCAAACATCACAGATGGAAATGCTGCCAAGTAATGCTGAAATGTTCTCGTGGGATACTTATAATGAAGATATATCATCTCTGGATGACAGCTTGGCATTCAGTTCTGTTGGTCTCTTGGAGCAGATAAATGTCACAAGGGATGCTAGTGATTATCTTTGGTATATCACTAGGTGAGATTTATTATGCAGATTTCTTTCCAGCAAATGGTTTTATTGATATCTTCTTCCTCTTACTCAGTTTTTGTTTTACAGAAAGTAAATGACAAGTTTATTTCTGACTGATTGTTTCAATTTGTAATTTGTTCAAAAATATTTTCTCAACATGGGATACTTGCATTTGTCTCTATAATTGTATAGTGTACATGAATTGGGACGTGTATGTATAGCTTTGAGCATGAGTATTAAATCCAAATTATGCAATGCTTTTGTGTTGTGATTGTAATCCCCACCCGATCAATTTGTTAACAGTGTTGATATCGGTTCATCTGAATCATTCTTGCGTGGTGGTGAATTGCCTACTCTCATAGTGCAGTCAACAGGGCATGCCCTGCATGTGTTCATAAATGGACAACTTTCAGGTACATTGTCAAATAATTTCATTTTAGAAGTGTATCTAGTCACATGCCACCCTTTCAAACTGATGTGCTGAAATGATTTTTTTTGTCTTTTAGGCTCTGCATTTGGGACAAGAGAGAATAGAAGATTCACATTTACCGGGAAGGTGAATTTGCGTTTTGGAAGAAACAGAATCGAACTGCTCAGTGTAGCTGTCGGATTACCTGTTAGTACCCACTCCCTAGTGCTTCTGTGTCCTAATTATCTATGGTGGCATGGGAAGCAAGTGGAAAAAATACTCTCATAAACTGGTTCTTCACTAATTTATTGGGAAGAATGATGGATATCTGTGCCAATTCAAAAATGAAAACACTTTCGTCTGCCCCCTTAGTTATTTTAGCGAAATTATTTTTACAGAAATATAGTGGTTTATTTGGCAAATACAATTAAAAGGGATAAGAGAAGGGCAAAATGACCCTAAATATGGCCTTGACCGATCTTAATATTGTTTCTTAGGTTACTCTACTATATTGGCTGAATTATGCAAGTATATGGACCCTAGGTGAGATGAGAACATGTAGCACTAAAACATTATTGTGTATCAGAGCTCTTCAGTAATTACCAATTTTGTAGTGATTGTGTACCACAGTAATTTTATCCAATCAAACCGTGATCTGAGTTTTTTAATAGGCTGTAAACACCTATTACTTTTACTTTTAGTAATTAGAGTATTTCTTTTCTGACATTATTTATGTTCATCATTGAAGAATGTTGGTGGACATTACGAGACATGGAACACTGGAGTCTTAGGTCCAGTTGCACTGCGTGGTCTTGACCAGGGAAAATGGGACTTGTCCTGGGCAAAATGGACTTACCAGGTTGTGAATTCTTACCTCCCGATTTCTCATTTACATTTTGGTCATTCAAAGAAATTTCACCTCATGGATTCCTCTTCAAACAGGTTGGGCTGAAAGGAGAGATCATGAATCTTGTCTCCCCTGATGGTATTTCCTCTGTTGACTGGATGCAAGGTTCTTTGATTGCACAAAAACAGCAACCATTAACATGGCATAAGGTATATAAAGAATATAAAATTAAAAATAAATTTCAGAAAGACTCAATTTAAGCATGTACAGGGAAATGATTCATTGGCATTACGAGTTTAATCTGTCTTCCAACACTGCAGGCTTATTTCAATGCACCTGACGGAGACGAGCCGCTGGCTTTGGACATGGGGAGTATGGGAAAAGGTCAAGTATGGATTAATGGTCAGAGCATTGGAAGATATTGGACAGTGTTCGCAACTGGTAATTGCAATGGTTGCAGTTATTCGGGTACATTTCGACCTCCAAAATGTCAGCTTGGCTGTGGCCAACCGACTCAGCAATGGTAAACCCTCCAATAAAAATTCTCCGATAATAATTAAGAACCAAACATTTCCATTCTAGAGTAACTAACAAAATCAAGTTTTCAGGTACCATGTTCCCCGGTCTTGGTTGAAGCCAACGCAGAACCTGCTGGTACTTTTCGAGGAACTTGGAGGGGATCCCACAAAAATTTCTCTCATGAAGAGATCTGTGACAAGCGTGTGTTCTGATGTTGCCGAGTATCACCCCATGATCAAGAATTGGCACATTGAAAGCTACGGAAAGACAGAAGAGATTCACAAACCAAAAGTTCACCTGCGGTGTAGTCCAGGCCAATCCATTTCTTCCATTAAATTTGCAAGCTTTGGAACTCCTCTGGGCACTTGTGGGAGCTTCCAGCAAGGAACTTGCCATGCTCCTACCTCATATTCCATCTTAGAAAAGGTACTTATTCTGATTTTTTATGTCTTAAAAACTTCACATACACATTTTTAGTTGGTGTTTTTTAAGCATTCTTTTTCCTTTTCTTTGTTGTATTTCACAGAAATGCATTGGGCAGCAGTGGTGCTCAGTGACCATATCAAACAGTAACTTTGGGCAAGACCCATGTCCAAATGTGTTGAAGCGGTTAACCGTCGAAGCCATTTGTTCACCTAATTCAAGGGGTTAATTAGGTAAATATGGATAGGGATGCTTAAATATTGCATCCAGTGATTTAACTATACATACCCACAAAAGAAGAAAAAAAACAAGGAAAGTAGTGAATTTAGTTAGATTGATGAATGCCATGTATTGTGCTAGAGTGAGTAGTCTTTTAATTTAAAGGGGGGACTAAATGGGCCTCTGAAGAGTAGTGATTTATGGTCCCCAGCATTTTAACCACCAAGGGGCACCGGTGAAGTTTATTGTTTGTGTTGTTGAACAATGTGCGATTTCTTTAGTTTTGATTTAAAAGTAGGGGAAAAGCAAAAGCAAACCCTTATTTGGTGTTCTTGTTAGGAGCGGATCCTAGCATGACCTTCCTTTCTTATGTGCAACTCTCTGTGACAATTGAAAAGGCCTTCTCTTCTCTTCTCCTCTTCTCCTCTTCTGTGCCTTCTGATTGTGTTCCTGGTAGAATTACTTATATGCAGTTCAATCTGTTTCTGAGTTGTTGGTTCAAGTAAACCTATCCAAATATGAAGATGTGCAATATTCACTTGTTTTACAAGTTCCATATCAGTAACACAGCTATCTATAGATTTGCACTTGAATTTGATATTTGTGGCTGAGATGTTCTTCCAAAATGCAGTGGGTGGAATGTAATGAAGATATGCAAATTTTTTTTTTATTTATTTTGGAAATATAAAGAAACTTAATTATTATGTTACAATTTTCAACTTTTTCTCCAATTAAACCAGATTAACAAATACTTGTTCATTTTTTATATAGAATATATAAGAGCTTACAACACCCAACACTAGTATGTTTTGAATATTAAGCAAAGCCAAATCAATATTGTAAGAATTTATGTATCTCCTCTTCTCCTCTTCTGTGCCTTCTGATTGTGTTCCTGGTAGAATTACTTATATGCAGTTCAATCTGTTTCTGAGTTGTTGGTTCAAGTAAACCTATCCAAATATGAAGATGTGCAATATTCACTTGTTTTACAAGTTCCATATCAGTAACACAGCTATCTATAGATTTGCACTTGAATTTGATATTTGTGGCTGAGATGTTCTTCCAAAATGCAGTGGGTGGAATGTAATGAAGATATGCAAATTTTTTATTTATTTATTTTGGAAATATAAAGAAACTTAATTATTATGTTACAATTTTCAACTTTTTCTCCAATTAAACCAGATTAACAAATACTTCTTCATTTTTTATATAGAATATATAAGAGCTTACAACACCCAACACTAGTATGTTTTGAATATTAAGCAAAGCCAAATCAATATATATCATATGCCTTTTATATAGGATATATAAGAGCTTACAACACCCAATACTAGTATGTTTTGAATATAAAGCAAAGCCAAATCAATATATATCATATGACTAGGTCAGGTCCACAGACACCTTCACAAGCAAAATAAGAAAGTAACATAGTAGTATTAATTAGGCAGCATTGACGTGCTTGGCAATGGTACTCTGCAGCTCGTCTTTCTTTGCTCCCACAACCTTATCCAGTATTTTCCCTTCTTTCAGGATCATGAAAGTCGGCATAGCCTGCACATCCCATTCACTAGCAACCGACTGCAGAAAAAGAAAAAGAAAAAAGAGAGATTGCTCTCACTTCATTATTGAAGCAAGTGATTATTTAGAATGAAAGTAAAACAAACTGTTGCAGTCTCATTATTAAATTTCTCATTTTTCGTTTTTACCTCTAGTTCATCTACATCCACCTTGAGGAAGGTAACGGTGGATAGTTTCTTGGACAACTCTACAAAAAATGGTGCCATGATACGGCACGGTCCACACCATGAAGCTGTGAAATCAACCACTATCTGCATAAATAAATAGCAGAGAATGAATAAATATTCCAAGGAAATTACTGCAAGAACAGACGATATAACTCTGCAAAAAATGGTGCCATGATACGGCACGGTCCACACCATGAAGCTGTGAAATTAACCACTATTTGCATAAATAACTAACAGAGAATGAATAAATATTCCAAGAGAATTACTGCAAGAACAGACAAATCAAAGAGGTTTTCAATTGAACCGATCAGATCCCTTTAGGAGAAAAAAAAAATATAAAAAGTAAAGAAAAATGAATTAGAAACTTTTTTTTTTTCCTCTCTATTTTCTCTTTTTTTTTCATTCACAAATACAAGGAACACGGTCTGATTTATCTTTTCTTCAACACTTAAATAAAGCTGACTCAGTCCATTAATGGTTTGGGAAACAAAAACATAATCAAAATTTGTTTTCTTAGTAAACACTCCACTCCAATACAACTTGATAATTTTGCAAAAGTATCGGATGAATAAAGCTTGAGACCCCCACCCACAGTGACCCCCCAGTGCCACGTGGCACCGCGTGATTGGAAGAAAAGGAAAAAAAAAATTGTTTTTGGGCTACTGGGGGTGCTGGGGTGCCCCCCACTGGGGGTCCCTAGCACCACTGTTTTGCAAAAGTATTGGATACTTGAATATGCTTTTTCCTGTATTTCTCAAATACAAGAATTTTGACAATTGACGGATTTCCAACTACAAATATTTTAGCTACTACTTGAAGTGGAGAATCCTTGGATCTAGAATTATACAAGGGCCATGAATATATATATATATATATATACTAGCAGTGTTTGCAAATGCGATACTTTTGTAATTGTAGATCTAATTTTTAGGACACTTTTGATAAATGAAAAAGATATATCAAATTTGAAAACTGTTCAACATGTAAAAATTACTAGAATTTTAGCAATCAACAATTTTAAAGCAAAACAAAACTTTAGATTGGCTTGCTTGAGATGGGTAATAGAGTAGAAGATATATAAAACAAGAGAAAAGAAGAAGAGTACAAGTTTGTTGGAATCATTGGCTTGCTTCAGATGTTGGTTCCATGCATCCACAGAGTGGCAACTTATCACTGCATCTGACATTTTTGCTCTTTTTCTTCTCTGTTTAATCAAAAACCGAACTCAGATTGTTTCACAAAATACTAGTTTCTTGTTTGATCTGCTCTGTTTGCTTTTGGTTTTTTGATTTCTGAATTTCTCATTCCTCCCTCCCTTTATATAGGCAAATCGCAAAATGGACCTCCCATTGTGCTTTTATTGCGAGTTTGCCACCAAACTATACCTGTTTTCGTATTCAATTCGTTAAAAATTTATTTAAAATCAAATTTATTATATAAATAAATCAAATTTAATATATATTAATAGAAAAGTAATGATTCAACTGATTAAATCAATCACATTAAAATTTAATATCGCATGGCAAATATATTATTATAGTTACAACTTTTCTCTATCCGATAATGGACATATTAACTGATTTAAAGTTGACTATCAACTTTTCATTTTTCATTTTTTTTATTGGTGTAACAGTTGAGCAATTTTCTACTACATATTGCATCAAGGTTCATCCTTTGATGGTCCAAAAACATTATTCATACGCGTCACTTCATATAGCTTTAACTTTTCCTTGTTCTTTTCTTGTTAGCATTTTGAACGCAAAAAATACTATCAATTCAATTTTAAATTATAAAAGAATTTACCAAAAATGACAAAGGAATAACAACGGATTGGTTACACTGTTTGGCAAAGAATAATATAAAGTATGAAAAAAAAAGAAAGAAAGAAAGAAAAATGCTTTATGAACTTTTAAGTATATGGACGATTGAGTTACAAAGATGATGACAATTTTTGGGATGGAATGAACAGACAAAAAATTTCCCTACTTTTTTTAGTGAACGCTGGTGATTTGTTTATAGACACCACAAAAAAAAGGGAGGGGATAAAAAAAAATCAAATTTATGTATGAAGCACATTTATGATGGTGGATTTAATAAACACGCATTTTATAAAAAAAAATTAAGATTAAAAAATTTCATAATTACAATGATGTGGCAAGATACATGTCAACTTTTAATTTGTTATATACTCAATTGTGTAAGGCTTACATCTCTTACTTTATCTTGGTGGATAAATTTAGAAATCCAAATTATAAGTTTCTAACATTACTCAATACATAATTTTTTAACCCGACCATGACTGATCTTCATTAGTATGACTTAGCCTACTTTTTTTTCACTATGTTTTTGGCAAATTGGGGTCAATTGTCCGGCGTTAAGTTATGATTCAAATTCAACTAGAGAAATTATCTACAATTCTATTGCGTTTATAGGTTGATCAAAACCCCTGATGTCTACATTTTAATTAATAGAGAGCCTACTATGACATGCGAAGGCAAAATAGTCCTGCACTGATCGTGCCTCCTACCTTTATATTCTTACAAAACAACAATTGTACAAACCACCAAAAAAACACAACTCTCAAAACTTTCACTCACCTGTGATTGGTCCAGAAAAAAAAGAAAAAAAAAATAACAAAAACATAACAAAACAAAACAAAAACAAAAATAAAAACACATAATTGATCCACATCATTTTAGGGTCATGAAAATCCCCAATTTTGGAGGTCCCAAACATTTTTACATACAAAAATAGAAAATGTTAGTCTAATAAATAACTTTTAGGTTAATCCAAATATTTTGAGAGATGAATGAGGAAGTATGAGTAATAAAGGGGGTATAAGACACAAAATTGTTGTATACCAAGCATGCAATATGAAGGGATGATTGATGATGTGTATATTTATCCAAGCAATTTCGAGAAAAGGCTATACAATTGGCAATGAATTCCACAGAGAGAGAGAGAGAGAGAGTTGGCAACAAATTTGAATGGATTCTTCTTTAAATTGCTGCCCATTCCTTGTGAGAGAGAGCAAAGAATCACAGTTGGCAAGAAATGTGAAAAGAATCGTTCTTTAAATTGCTGTCCATTGCCTGAGTGAGAGAGAGAGAGAAGAGAATCCCAGTTGGCAAGAAATGTGAAAAGGATCGTTCTTTAAACTGCTGCCCATTCCTTCCACCATGGCCTTTGCTTTATCCATTCTGCAAGTGGCTCGCTCTTGCTTTTTTTTCTTTTTTTTTTTTCTCTTTTTTCTTCTTCTTCTTCTTCTTATATTAAAACTTGAAATTGTTGCCAAAGCTATATTAAATTAAAATGCATGTATATTGTAGATTTATCAGCGTGAAAAACCATCCATAGGGATAAGGAATAAAATGTCTCATCCAAATCCCAAAATGGTGCAAATCAGAGTATTTTTTGGTGATTTTAGGTACATCATACATGAAATCCACAAGCAATTGTAAACTAAAGTTGGTACACACCATAAGGCTACAACTGGATCAAATTCCTGAAGAAGTAAGTACCAAGAAGAAACCAACCTACAAGAAGGAAGGTGAAGAAGGCCAAGAAAGTTATGAAAGTCCATCCTCCGAAGGTGATTCCCAGACCAAATATGATGACAAATGGTAAGTAAGATTGGATCATTGATGCTTTGCTGACCCAACGTCCCTTGAGAAAAATCAGAGCTGCGAGGTTCACCACGTTCCACCCACCGGACTGAAAGCCCATCCTGTTCAAATTGTTGGCTACAAAGGAATGACAGTTGCAAGTAAAAAGATTGTAAGCACGGTGCTGGAATTCCTGAGTGCTTTTCCGCGTTGCATCATCCCATGTCAATAAGTCTCTTGCAGGCTCATCTTGCTCGTACCCATCTTCACTTGTGTAGGCAGCCTGATGGGAACGAATGCAACACTGTAGACCAAAATTTAGAGAAGCAGGAGTGATGAAAAAAAATATTTAGGAAAAATAATGGTCAGAAGCTATAGAAATAAAATAAGATTCGATAAAAAGCAACTCTCACCGGAAGTTTGAGGGACGAAAACTTTTAATTGGATTGTCTAAACTTCAAAATCTTATCGTTGTTGCTTTAGTTAGCTCCTTGAATACCAGTATACAAACATTGCAGATCTTTTTGGGGGGGCATTAAAATGAAAGAGTTTAACATTTCATGGAATTTCTTATACATATCCTTATATAAATGGAGCTCTCAAAAAAGAAAATGGAGGGGCATTATTCCATATATAAATAGATTTTTTTTTTTTTTTTTTTTGCGACTTGTGACCATAGGCTGACAAGTGCCAACTGAAGAATGAATGACCAATAGATCCAATGGTGTGGGATTGGCCTTGACAGAACATGATTAATAGAGCTTGAGGGCTTAAGACATTGGGGTTAGCAGTTATTCTGCTATTATCCATAAAAGAACAATGTTGAACAACTTAGGTCACAAGGGATACACTCCTACACAATCATGTTCTAGAACAGTCACAACTGCCGCTAATATCAATCATCAGTGATAAGGCCAGAGGGCAGAGGGTCCTGCAACCATCTCATATAAGCAGCAACAGGCAGTTGGATCATTTGCCTGTCTCTCTCCTCGGAGAGACGAGAGCAATGCCCCTTGTTCAGTCATGTGCCAAGCTGGCAACAGGCCACTGAAGCGACCATCATAGAAAGGTGCTTAAAAAAGAGCAAAATTCGTAAAATTAGAAACAAGCATCCAGATGTACCTTCTCTTTGCTTATTTGGATGTAACGAGCAACTGCCCCGAATGTAAAGTTGTCTACACACACAAAATTAGGCCCTGCAAAGTCCAATATGACTCCATCTTCTCTGCATATCCCCATGTGGCCTATAAAAGGAATTAGCCATGATATAACAGGAAGTGGTGTCCACACAATGCAGCATGGAAACCGGGCTCTCCTTGGATCAATTTGCATAGTTTGCGGGGTGTTCTGTTCAATCATCAGGTGGTGCTCAGAGTCTGAATTTGGTTCCATTGTCAAAGCTGTATAGAACACTGCATTAAGTCAACCGTAAGACGAATTGAAAAATGGAACAGTCAATTACGTATTCAGCTGTAGTCTTGATTATTGTCCATTCACGTAACATATTCAAGGACAGAAGAAAGAAAAAATCCTGCATACACTGTTATGATAAGCTATAACCATCCATTCCAAGTGTTTTGCCAAACTACTCAAAAGACCATTACACTCATCTGCACAATGTCTTCAATCAATTTACCAATCTGAATATCTTGTGGCAATTAACTCCTTGAAATGTTTAAATGGGAGCCAACAACACCGTTAGAATTTCATTAACCACTTTTTCATTTTACCACGGCTATCTGACAGCAGAGTTTAAAAAAACAAAAATACAAACACATACTTAATAAATTCATACATGTTTACACTAGCAAAAAGGGGCCTCTGAGAGACCCAGTAATTGAAGCTAATATATATGTGATAAATTATGGAAGCTTCACACCATGTTCATTATCACATCCAGCTCACTCTCACTCCAATCTCATTCTAATTCCTAGATGACAAATAATGGCATCTCCGCATCTAGATTGGTTGTCAATTTATAGCCTTGCAAGGAAAAACTATTGTCTTAACTAATTACCCAACTTTCAAAATTCAAGTCATCAAGGACGGTAAATGAGTTTCAAAAGTGCTAAACTGCTCAAGAAAGAATGAGTGTGCCTGTGTTCCTATTCATTTTCCATCAGATCATTAAACATTTATATATGATCAAGAAGTGTTGAGAAAATCATCAGTCCAATAGCACCTATCAGGTGCAATCAGTAACACATAATTAGTTACAACTTCATTCTTAATTATCCTTTAATAACAGTCTGAATTTTCAGGCAAAGAGATTTTTATTTCCACTTTTCACTTTCATTGAACAAGCTTAGTGAAAGGTAGTTTCAAAATTAAATTCATATTGGCAAATTTATTTATTTATTTGGAAAATTAAAATGACAAATTTGTCATTAAATATTGTTCGTAAAATTAAATCTTCTCCAGTGCTAAATTTTCAAATTGGTTCAGAAAAAGAAACCCACTAACGAACATGTCAGTTATTCAACATGAATATATATATCCACATAATTGTAAGAAAAACGAACAGCGTAGCAGTTTTTGCCCCCCTCTCTGAAACATATATAACAATAAACCCTAACTTTTTGGCCCTGTTTCAGATATATATACAATTTAAGATCGCATAATCAGAATTACAAAGATGTAAATAGGAGCGAGAGAGAGAGAGAGAGAGAGAGAGTACCTTGGAAGGAAGATGAAGATCGAAGCCCTGAGATCAGCAAAGAGCAGTCACAGGCCAAGGACGCCTCAATCGTCAACCCCCATTGACGTTTTTTTTTTTTTTTTTGTTCTTTCTCTTTTTTATTATTATTTACCCTCCAAACGATGTAGTTTTGGATGCAAAGGTAAAAGTCAATTAGAGGATATCCAACTTTTGTGCCATTGTTAGGTAAAATTAAAAGAGTAATGAGTTGCCAAAAAAATTATTAAAAATTCTACTCAAAAGTTTTATATAGGTATGGAATCTGTATAGGACTTATATTATGTGGGTTTTACACTTATGTAAGATAATTGATAGAATTTTGAAAATTTTTAATATTTTTAAAATTAAAAATGTAACTGTCTCATTACTCTAACTTAGAATTATGATAATGTCAAATTTTGAATTAAATTTAGTCCAAGTTTGACCAAAGTCATTTTATTTGATGTTAAATGAAGGAAAGAAAAAGGGAGATGAGGACAAATAGTATCAAACAGTTAGGAAAAAAAATTTAGTTGAATTTAACAAATGCTTGCGTTAAAATGGCAAGTCTCCGTTATAGTGGTATAGTCAAAATTTGGCTTTTGTGCATTGTAGCCAGCCAAAAAATTACTTTGGCAAAGCCATGTTATCTTAGACCATTGGAGATGCGCTAATGTGAGATTATTGAAAGTACCTCTCGGATGGTGAAAATGAGATTTAATTTTTTTATTCAATTTGCATCAAATTAAATTTTCATTAAATATTTCTTTAAATTAGGTATAAATCAAATCTTTCATCTAATTTTTAATAATTTTTTTTTATCCTTAAGTTTGATGAAATTATTCAAAGATAAATGATTGGATTTTTCTTTTTGTCCTCCTGCATTGATCAAAAGAGGTTTTTAGGATAGCTCATGTGTTTTCAAAAAAAAAAAAATTGATGAAAAATGTATCAGATTAATTTTTTTATCTAAATTTCTGATCAAATTTGATTTTTTTTAAAAAAAAGATATAGTATTAAGGATGCTCTAATACATGTTAAAATCACAACAAAGACCAACTCATTTGAGGATTTGAATCACACAAGTGTTATTCAGGAATTATAGCTTGTTTGGCCATAGCCGAGTTTGTGAATTGCGACAACCCCTACCAAGCATGAACACCGTGCAATTTTTAATAATTTTTTTTTATCCTTAAGTTTGATGAAATTATTCAAAGATAAATGATTGGATTTTTCTTTTTGTCCTCCTGCATTGATCAAAAGAGGTTTTTAGGATAGCTCATGTGTTTTCAAAAAAAAAAAAATTGATGAAAAATGTATCAGATTAATTTTTTTATCTAAATTTCTGATCAAATTTGATTTTTTTTTAAAAAAAGATATAGTATTAAGGATGCTCTAATACATGTTAAAATCACAACAAAGACCAACTCATTTGAGGATTTGAATCACACAAGTGTTATTCAGGAATTATAGCTTGTTTGGCCATAGCCGAGTTTGTGAATTGCGACAAACCATACCAAGCATGAACACCGTGCATCGAACTGCTTAAGTTTGATTATGGGTGTTAATGTAAAATGTAAATTGTAAAATATAAACTACCACCCACCTACCACCTCCACTACCACTCACTCCACCTACCACCTCCACTACCACCTTCACCTACTCCCAAATCCTCTCCTATAAAAATCCTTGTAATATACATCAATCAATATAACATTCATCAATCAATAATATCAATATACATAATTCATTCTCTCTATTTCTCAATACATCAAATCTTTCAATGGGTAAGGATTCTCTATCTATATTTATTATTTTTGTCTCATTATTAATAATATTGGTGTGCAAAAATTACTATTAACTTGTCACCTTGCATATTCCTAAATCAATTCATTCAGTTTGAAAATATGAGCGAATTTGATTAAGCAAAACATAATGATGCATTGCGTGCAGGCTTACTATGGTGGGTACAATAAATTTAGCGTTACCAAGTCAAAAGCATAAAATTCCTTTTTATTGATACAAAATGTTTTTTTTTTTTTTTTTTTTTTTCAATGGGTAAGGATTCTCTATCTATATTTATTATTTTTGTCTCATTATTAATAATATTGGTGTGCAAAAATTACTATTAACTTGTCACCTTGCATATTCCTAAATCAATTCATTCAGTTTGAAAATATGAGCGAATTTGATTAAGCAAAACATAATGATGCATTGCGTGCAGGCTTACTATGGTGGGTACAATAAATTTAGCGTTACCAAGTCAAAAGCATAAAATTCCTTTTTATTGATACAAAATGTTTTTTGTTTTTTTTTTTTTTTTTTTTGTTAGTTAGAAAGAATCGAGCATTTGGAATATAGGTCGTTTTATCCATTCCTTGTGTTGTCATCTATCCCATACTGTTTACATATTATAACATTATCAAAATCAAATGTTAAAAATATATAGAATAGAGAATGGTATAGAAAATGAGACGAATAATCCCATGTTAAATACTTATCAACATATTATGACCTATGCCAACAGAAGTTAGTTGAGCTGGTAAGGATCTCGTTGCCAGCAGGTTTCCTTAGTAGGCGATCTATAAGTCTAATGTAAGTCCTCGTTGAGACCTGCAACTTATCCTGATCCTGAATAGTCCCTGTTTACCAAAAAAAAAAAAAGATTATACCCTATATATTTCGTCTTTGCTAATCTATTTATTTTGACTCAAATACTAGGTAAATTTTCTATTGATAAATACTGTAGTCATATATTTCTCCTTCGGACACCATGGATAAATTAGTATTATACTTTTTAGAGCCAATCAATTTTAAAGGCAAATAATTGAGACAAAAAGTTCATTTGTTGACATTGTTAAATGGGAAAAGTTAGGGATCATGAAAATTTTGTCCTGAAAATGATCATGAAAACTTTATGATCCTTGGACTAACTTGATTAGTGTGTGGTGTTTTATTCTAAGTGTAATCTAAGGGTCACGAAACTTTCATGATTATTTTCATGAAAAAATTTTCATGATACCTAGCATTGTTGTTAAATTCGCAATGATCTTTTGGACTACTTTCGCACAGCTTGCTCAGTACAGATCCCACTTGCATATCGTATTTAACAGCCTTCTTGAAACTCCATGGACTAAGATGTGCTTTCATTATACCAATCTACTTTAGTAGATCATATGTGGATGTAGAAAGAATTTATAATTTTGATGATTTGGAAATATCTTCTTTATTTTTTTCATTTCTATTTACCTAATTCATATCTTCCTTTTGTGTGTTCTGGGAAGGAATTGTAGGAGATCAACCCAAATTGAGTTGGCAGCCACATGGAAGGGTGGCCAACCCACATGGTAAAAGGAAGGCAAAAGAGGTTGGCATGAGTTGGCAAGTCATGAGGCTTGAGTTGGCAGCCATGAGGCTTGCCATGCGCCAGCAACAAAGGAGAACATTGGGCTGGCAGCCAACACACCCATGAGGCCTCCTCCACCTTCTGTTTTGGTGTATAAAATGGAATGGTGATGGTGAGTTGAATACACGGCAAACATAGCAAGCAAGAGAGAAACACACTGCTGAGAGAGAGGCACAAAACAGAGAGAGCTAGTGAGAGCTATATTCTGTTTGTGTATCAGAGAGTGTGAGAGAGTGTGTTATATAAAGAGACAGTGGGCACACCAGGGGTTTCCAACAATCCCCCACATGAATGGAGGCAAGTTGTTGCCGCTGTAGATGCTTGGAAACATTCAGATTTCCTGTGCAGAAACTACATCCTAAATGGCCTTGACAATATGCTGTATAATGTATACAGTCCTCTGAAAACAGCAAAAGAATTGTGGGTTGGCCATTTGAGCCACTTTTGAGCCACAAAATTTGAGCTACGTAGCATTGTCGCACCATATATAGGTTCTCTCTCATCTCGTGATTACTGGCCGATTATGACCTTAACCCATAGGGGCGGGTTCGGGTCATGACAGAGTGGTATCAGAGCACGAGTAATAACTCACACACTTGTCCAAATGAGCAATAAGCAGCAGATTCAAATTTAAACAGATTTGAATCTGTTTATTCAAACAGATAGAAACGGGAAGGGCCCTGTTTGGATGAACAAAAAATCCAAACTAATTTAATTTGAATTCTAGATTTTATTTTAATAAAAAATAAAATTAAATTCAAATGTTTTTGGCCCAAAAAGATTAGAACCCCAACCACACACCCGCGCCCAGCCCGACTGACTGGACGGCCGGCGGCGCGCGATTTTTGGGTCCAATGGGTCTAGCCCATTTTGCCCATAACCTCTCCCTCTAAAACACTTAGGTACCCCTTGGGGCACACCCCAAGTATCTCACCCTAAGCCTTATAAACCCTTTCAAAACTTCCCACCAAATCAATGTGGGACAAGCCAATTTACAACCTTAAGGAATTTCCACCCAAAACTCCATTTCCATGGAGCATACTTTGGCTTCAATTTCCCATTCACTCGGTAATGGTTTTGAGCAACCAAATATACCACGTGAATCACAACGCGGCATAGAACGCGTTACCACTTTGACCCGAGTAAATCGACACTCGGGGCCCACCTAAAAATAGACCAAACTTGAGGAAAAATTAACCATTTCCAACAATAACACACAACAAACATCATCTGGCAATATGGTGACAGAAAAGGATGATTCGTACTGCACCGGCATTTAGGAGGATTTGTTGGAGGTTGGTAGTAGCGGTTAAATAAGCAAGGATTGGGCACTGCTTGTTGCTTGAGTGCTCTCCATTATTGAGAGAAGACCTGCTTTTTCAGCAGCAAACTTGCTCTCTGCACTTTTGCCCCATACAACCAGGTATAGTCCAGCTATGACAAACACTGCTCCAATGATGCTGCACCATCTCATTAAAAAAAATAAAAATAAATAAAGAAGATCAATAAGGCATATATGATTAATATTATGACAGAGAAAAGAAACATTTAATGAAATAATATTCATAATAATCTTGCAATCAGATCGATAATGGAATATTATCAAAAAACAGGGTGGATCTGTTCAGAAGTTTCAGATGTGAAGAACTTGTGGTTTATAGAAGTTAATATAATGT